TCTTTCCTGCCTATGCAGGGGGTCAGACTCGATGATCTATTGAGGTCCCTTCTGACCCTAACATCTATGAATCTATGAACTGCCTGTGAACACACCCATCTTACATTAAATGGAAGTTAACCCACTCTTCTGTTATTATATATAGTACACAATGGAAAACACCACTGTGAAAATAAAAAGTGAAATTAAATTAACAACATTAAAACAATTTTTAAAATGAATTATTAATGAAAAATTAAGAAAAGATTTAATTATTAAATTTAGAAGTAATTTCTACATAGAAGAAACTGCTGAGGAAAACAACTGGAGAAATTATCTCCTAATATTTCTTCTCTTTATTTCACTGAGAGCAAAAGTACAGCATTTTCACTTTTATTTCCTGTGGGGAGTAAGAGCAGGCACAGGGATAACTATGATGAACTGCTGTTGAACTGCAAATACCCTGATTTTCCTTGTAGTAACTGTTTTGTGTGTCCGTGCCTTGTACATATCTAGATTCTTAGATTACAGAAAAATTCTAATGTTATATCTACACTGTTCTCTTTGAAGCTTGTATATCCCCCCCCGAGTAAACTTTAAAATAGCTAGCCAGGACACTGCCATAATGAGGCTGTGGCATCTCAGAAATCAGCAATTACTAATCATCCAATTATTATTTATTCAACTTTGCAAATGTAGCAACATCTAAGCTACCTAGTTTGAAGCCATCCAGGCATGTGGTATCTCTAACTAAAGTACAGACTATGTAATGACTGAAGTGTAGACACATAAGCAGTTTAGGGATACATGTACTTATCTATGCAGCCCTGCAACAGCCTGGCATTGTTTTCTAGCTTTTTAGCTGACACTGATTCTTCTGACAAGGGTTTAAGTAAGCTCTGCTGACCTTTAATTATTACTCTACCAGAAAATAAATGAAGTATGAATGTCTAAAGTAAAGATGTTGGACAAAATGGAAGAACAAACCCTCGCAGCAGCCACGCCTGGGAGAAAACCAAAATGATCTCTGCGTTTCTTTCCTGCTTTGTTCAATTAATCCAACTACTAGGAAACAGAGGAAGTTGGGCTCTGTGAACTGTTCTTATAAAGCAAGCAGGAACAATCCTCTCAGTCTACATATATAGATGAAAGAAATTTGAGATTTGGGGTACTCAGTAAAGTACTTTATATGCAGCAATAGTTTTATAGAATAAATCCATTCAGGGGACAGGGTAGCACACTTCTTTTATACTGAAAGAACTGTCTGGACAGAAATAGTAATGGTCATAGTTTTGTAACTTCTACTATTGGAAAATAATATTTTTATTTAGATTTTGAACTTTTGCACACAAAATAAAGCAATCATACTTCTCAAGCTATGACAATCCATCTTCAAAAGTTTCTAGTGAATATTAATAATAAACAGATGTCCAATTCACACAACAAAATGATGACTCTTTGTAAATTTGATAGGATAATCAATGCAAGCTGACAAATGTAACTGATAAATTCATAGCAACTATGAATTTATCAGTTACATATTTATCAGTTACATAGCAACTATGAATTGGCTCCGGGGTTGGACCCAGAGGGGAGTAATCAATGGAAGTCACTCATCGTGGTGTCCTGTGACCAGTGGGATCCCCCAAGGCTCTGTCCTTGGACCCATACTGTTCAACATCTTCATTAATGATGTGGACACTGGAGTCAGAAGTGGACTGGCCAAGTTCACCGATGACACCAAACTTTGGGGCAAAGCATCCACACCAGAAGACAGGCAGGTTATCCAGGCTGACCTGGACAGGCTCAGCAAGTGGGCGGACGAGAATCTGATGGTGTTCAACGCCGATAAATGCAAGGTTCTCCACCTTGGGAAAAAAAAACCCGAAGCATCCTTATAGGCTCGGCAGTGCTATGTTGGCTAGCACTATGGAAGAAAAAGACTTGGGGGTCATCATTGACCACAAGATGAACATGAGCCTGCAATGCGATGCGGCCGCTAGTAAAGCGACCAAAACGCTGGCTTGCATCCATAGATGCTTCTCAAGCAAATCCCGGGATGTCATTCTCCCCTTGTACTAGGCCTTAGTGAGGCCGCAGCTGGAGTACTGTGTCCAGTTTTGGGCTCCACAATTCAAAAAGGATGTGGAGAAGCTTGAGAGAGTCCAGAGAAGAGCCACGCGCATGATCAGAGGTCAGGGAAGCAGACCCTACGATGACAGGCTGAGAGCCCTGGGGCTCTTTAGCCTGGAAAAGCGCAGGCTCAGGGGTGATCTGATGGCCACCTACAAGTTTATCAGGGGTGACCACCAGCATCTGGGGGAACGTTTGTTCACCAGAGCGCCCCAAGGGATGACGAGGTCGAATGGTCACAAACTACTTCAAGATCATTTCAGGCTGGACATAAGGAAGAACTTCTTTACTGTCCGAGCCCCCAAGGTCTGGAACAGCCTGCCACCAGAGGTGGTTCAAGTGCCTTCATTGAACACCTTCAAGATGAAACTGGATGCTTATCTTGCTGGGATCCTATGACCCCAGCTGACTTCCTGCCCTTTGGGCGGGGGGCTGGACTCGATGATCTTCCGAGGTCCCTTCCAGCCCTGATGTCTATGAAATCTATGAAACTATCCAGGACTTTTTATATCAACTAAAATGTGTCCAAAAACAAGAGTATGGATTTCAGGTACTGTAGCCATACGGTTTAATATGCTGGCAGTCAGTGTTCTGGAAAAATGACTACAGTATTCATCAAAAACTACACACTGGCAAAGTGACATCAAACACGTAATTAAATATACCACCACAGTAAGTCTATTTATTGACTTTAAAAATTTACATACCACCTTACAAGTTTGTATACCTTTGTATATCTCCTTATAAGCTCTTACAGTTTTGTGACAATAGTCTACATGCACAATTCTTATAATTATATTCAAAATTTAGCTTTCAACAAAGAAACAATTTAATTAGCAATTTTGCAGTGTATTAAAATTGATGTCACCATTTTAAAAGAGGATATTAGCTAGACCCAGATGAGAGGCTACTGAACTCCCTTATTACAGATCATACTCTAGTCAATTCTGTACTATAAAGCACTTAAATTGGACTGTGAGCCCATTAGGACATCTTACTTCTCTCCAAGGTAAGTAGTAAAAAAAATAAACATATTCCTTATATAATCTTAGTGGTTTCCTGATCCATCACCTATTGCATAAAATGAAGACGGTCTCATTTATTTCAATAATAAATAAAATTAGGGGCATTTATGAATAAAAGCTTTCTTATTCTCACGTGACGTTCTTAGATATTGGACAGGAAGTTCTTTAGATGAGCACCACTTAATGGATTCTGTGAACATTGCCAAATAAATTCAGAATTTAACTGCTCATGTACCTACTGGATTTTCTCAAGCTCATCTATTGCTGTTACTTGAACTCTGAAGCTTAAATTAAGTTTTATTTGAGCAAATTTTTATAATTAACTATATAATTTTAACTTCAATTTTAAGATAAGCACTCTCTCATTTTACCCTGCCTAATTCCTCAAGAGTCATTCTGAAATATTTACACTGCACTTACCCATCATATTGTATAAGCTCTGGGGAGCAAACTGGCTTGGCATTTTTTGTATTGCTTCCTTGTAAACCATCAGTGCATCCTAATATGAAAGACAGAATCAAGAAAAATCACTATTAAAGTACCAATTTGAAAAGCAGTCTTTCACATGCAATTAAATACAAGCTACCATCTCTGAATGGAAAAAAAAAAAGAGTCTACAATATTAATTCAATGGGAAGATCACATTTATCATTTTTAAAAAGATCACCAAAAGATATAAAGCTCTTTGACACTAAACTTAATCATTTCTATTAGTTCATCTCTTTCCTGCAAGAGGAAAAAATGTAACATTAGTACTCCCAAAAGCTGATTAGTTTACTGATCGATTTAAAATTCTGTAGACTGACAGACTACACAGATTAATATCAAATTCCAGATAGAGAATTTTTCACATTATTGTGCTACAATAAGTACCTTAATAATAAAGAGTCATTGCTAGTACAAGTGCCAATAAAACACAGAACCCCAGTAAAAAATGCCCAAATTAGGTTTTCCTCATTTCCCCCACTCTTGAATGTGTATTGTTTGTTTTTTGAATTACATGAACTAGAGATGCACCAATACATTGGTCTGATATCAGATTGGTATCAATATAAAGAAAATTGGCTATATTGCAAATTGGTTTAATGTGGCCGATAATTTGTGCCCCATCCCCACTTCAGCACACAGTAGGACAGCCCCATCTACATCACAGCATGCAGGCAGCAAGGAGCAGAGCCCAGCAGTGTACAGCTGGTAAATCTGTTGTGGTGGAAGGGGAGGGAAGGGGTGTGGGGGAGGAACATCAATGCCCCCCACGGTGAGGGAGGGAAGGGGCAGGGGTGGATGGGTGGGGTGAGGGACAGAGCTGTAACTCATCAGGGGGGTGGCTCCCACCACTGCCACCCTGGAAGGCCACCGGGTGGGGGTGTTCCAGATTGGGACAGGCAGGCTGCAGCTGCAGGTTGGAGCCAGGGCCACGCTAGGCTCTTCTCAGCAGGGGCTGGCCTTGGGGCAGGTGGCAGCGGTGCTGGGAGTGGAGCTATGGAAAGGGATGCAGCCACCCCAAATTTCGCCATAGCTATGCTCCCAGCACTGCCACCACCCCAGCTCTTCCTGGAATGTGGGGGAGGCGGGGGTTAAGCCAGGGTTGTACCAGGTGAGCAGCAGCAGCATTGGGAGCGGGGCTATAGCAAAATTTGGGATGGCTGCAGCCCCCCCTCCCCTGTCCAGCCTCTGCCAAGAAGAGCCCAGCACAGCCCCGGCTCCAGCCTACAGCCTACCCATCCCACCCTGATTTGGGGGCACATGCCCCGCACATGCCCTCCCAGGATGGCAGTGATGGGAGCTGCCCCCCCTCCCCCGATGAGTCGTGGATTCGTCCCGTGACCTGCCCCGCCCCACCCTGGCTGGGAAGAACCTACCCCTGTCCCCTTCCTCCCTCACTGCAGGGGGGTTGATCTACCCCCCACAACCCCTTCTCTCCCCCCTCCCCTTCCACCACAACAGGCTTCATGCAGCTGCATGCAGCTATATAGGAAATTGGATCAGTATCAGCCAATATGCCTCCTTAAATATTGGCTACCAGATACTGGCTCCCAAAATCTCTATCAGTGCACCCCTAACATGAACATATTTTAATGTTTCATTCAGCTCTTGGGTAGGAGGTGCGTTGTGAATGAGGCAGTCATATAGTGAATATTTTCATTCATTAATGTACAGTGGCTACTCTGCATTTACTCTAGTACTTATATAATCAAGTACTAAATAGATGTGCAGTAACCAGAATTACTGTGCAGTAGTGCAAACGAACACCTTTTTAGTGATGCTTCTGCGCAGTAGCCTAATAATTATGCACAGTAGCTTATTAGCACAGTTTGTGCTGTGATGTGCTACTGCGTAGTATTATTAGGCTACTGTACAATTAGTGTCTCGTGTAGATGTGACCACTGTGTAGTGTTCTAGAGCAGTGAACTATACAGCACTACACAGCATGACAGCAAACTTCTGCACTGTGCAATGGGTCAGACTCATTTGCAATACATAACTGAATGATCATTTAAGTCCAAATTAGATTGCAACTAGCCTGCGCAGTGAGCAGTTGTTTTATTTACTTCTGGTATGTCAGGCATATCTATGCCATTATATAAATAATAACTAAACACAATAAACCATGCACAGCCACAGCAGAATTATACAATATGCTACTTCATCTTTACAAAGAAATTAGTTTTCTGTGACTGCATTTTAAATAATGAATAACTCCCCAAGCTGAAAAAGGAAGTTGAATGCAGGGAGCTTGAAATGACCTATGCAAATTTAATCTTGAACAGCCAAGTTTGAGTGTTGGAGTCTGAAGAGTTACGTGTATCGAAACTATGAGTAACTCGGTTCTGAATTGCCTCACCGAACAAAATAAAAATACTTTCTTTCTGGAACACAGAAATGTGTCTTAATCACACACAAGGACCTATTGCTTACTACTTCCTGAAGGGGGGAAAATTAATGTTACAATTTCCTTGTCATGCAGGAAAATTAGACAGCCTGGATACAGAATAAGATTATGCAAACAGATGTATTTTAACCAACAGTAAAATGCAGACATGTGTCCGCAGAGAAGCCCAACCAAAAGGATACAAAATATCACAGTCTATAGTTAAGATCTAAGCTTTTTAAGTAGAAAAGTATTTGATTTTTCCAACTAGGCTTCAGTTTTTTTGGAATTATAACACTGTACGTGGAATTAAATTAGTAATTATGTACAAGGAATAACTTCCTAGGGAGAAACATGAATTCATGTAGGTGCAGAAATATAGGCATGAAATATTGTAGGGGCAATTAAAAAAAAAGGTAAAGCTTGTTTTTATAAAAACAACAGGCCCTTACTATGCATACAACTGACAAAAAGACTTAACACCTCTTCAGCAAAGACGTCAGCCACTGCCTTACTTGACTCAGAACGGGACACAAGGTTGTTTAGTTTGGGGAAAGGGTAGGCCACTTTTCTGTGTGGCAGGCCGGAATGACCCACTCTGCATCAGAGGCAGATGGGCAGACACGTGCTCATCCACACAGTGGCATGGGGAAAGCACTCAGCCAAAGCCCCCACTGCTGAATGCCATGGAAGGCCCATGTCTGTGGGTCAGATGTGGCCTATGGGCTGTAAATTGATAATCCCTGGCTTGAAGTGTTAAATACTATAAACTCTGCAGACTAGGCAGAGGGAAACCAATAAACCTATACTAAACTAGTTAGTTATGTATATTTTACCTGCTGTGACATATCCTTATGGAAAAAGGCAAACAGCAGAAAGTGACAAGTCTAAGAGTTTGATTATAATCCTGGATTTCAGAATGACTCTGTGAGCACTTCTGTATGTCTGAGGCTGTCTCTCCAAATTGTGAATATCCATCTACCTTACTGTGCTTAGTGAGCCTTAGCCAATATTTGTGAAGTATTTTGAGATTCTTGATTATATGAACTATATTATATATACATAATCGGTGGCATTTTCTCTTCTTTTTTGTAG